TCGGTAGGTTGCCCTTCCGGGATTGGGTGGGGGCTCCGATGGCCCCGCCCCCGGGGCGTGGGCGGGGCCTCGGCGTCCCGCCGCAGCCCCTCCCTTGCTGCGTGCCGCAGGTGTCTCGCTGGGGGGGCCCCGTTCCCGCCGCCCCGGGCAGCCGTATGGCCCTCAGCAGCGAGCGCTTCGGTGCCATTGTGGGGAGGACCGTTAAAATCACCTTAAAATGTGGCGTCTTCCAGGGGGTGCTGCAGCACGTCAACCCCGACCGGAGCCTCCTCCTGCGGACAGGTCGGGGGCGGCGGCGGCGGGCAGGGCCGCGCCGCGCCGCCTCAGCTTGTGAGGGGGAGCGGGAGGGGCGCGGGCCGGCCCGGCGCCGTGAGCCCGGTCGCTGAGGGAAGGGAGCTGGCGGACGGGCGCCTGGCTCGGCGGTGGACGCTTCGTCACCGCTGGCGTGGGAAGGCTGAGACGCCGAGCGTGCCCGCGGGTGCTTTCCGGGGGGCAAAACGGGCCCTGGGACGAATAAAACGTAAAGTAGGAGCTAGAGCACCTGCCTGTGCTCTCAGCTGTGAGACTGCGTAGGTGTAGCAGCCCTGAGTTCTGTCCTACTCGGTGCACGGTCGTCTTATGGAAACCCTCTTCTGTAGAGGAAAAGAGCTGTCACTTAAAATAACCCATTGGCTGATTTTTTAATTTTTTTTCCTAGTTACTAGTACTGCCTGGTCCTATGGTCTTGCTTTGTTCTGCAGATGATAAGCTTTTACCCCAAACACTAGAGCTTGATATATGTCTGTATTTTCTTCCCCTCCCTCATTTCAGTGAAGAACTTGGAAACTGGCAGAAGCACTCCAGGAGTAAAGATGTTTTTTGGCCATGAAATAGTCAATGGTGAGGCTTTTCTTGCTGCAGTTTGGGGCACAGGGATCATGCCCACTTTTAGTTCAGCATTTTAAATCCTATTTTTTGCTCCCTCTGCTGAATTCTTCAGTTGCACATCTTCTAAAATCAGTAGGATTTAGAATTTTGTATAAATCACACAACTTTTGTTCCCCAATTATCTATCAATGAAATAATAATAATTCCCCACTTTGTGAGGGTCTTGTGACTGTACTGCATGAAAGCTTATTAGTTAAATAATGAATAAAGTCCAATAAGACCACTAATGAAAGTAACCACTCCAAAGGTAATCAGTTGAGATAAGCATGCCCCCTGAAGGCAAGTTACATTCATTTGTGTATGTTCATATACGTGCAAGACTTTCATTAATGCAGTCTGCTGGGAAGTTAAATTGCTTGAAGTTCTAGTTAACTTGGTTTTGCTTTTACTCACACAGGCAAAAGCATCTCTATTAAATGGTCTGTTTATCTGAGCCACTTTCTGTGATTCAGTAGTGATAAGAATATGGGATTATTTAAGAAAAACATTTCTAGTGTATAAAGGTCCTGTGCATTTCTCTTGGCATCTGCTTTGCTTGGGGACAAGGAGCAAAGTGCTGAGGAGGAAATAGCTAGAAGGCAGCTATTTAGACTTATCAAGTGATTAACTGACTCCATTCTACCTTTTTCCTTATACCTACTTTACTGTATATTTAATAGTCTGTAATTAGTTGTAGTTCAATACTGACTTTTGTTTTGGTGGGATGCTAAGTCGTTAGTCTTGTTTAAATGCTGGAGTTCTGAAATACACCTTATCTAGGCTACCAATGTAAGTTATTTTATATAGATTTGTACATCAGAGTGAATTTAAAATTATTTAAACTGTACTTTGAGTTAAATTTCTTTTTTTATATGTATGGCTGTGTCCTACGGTGGTTAAGATTGGTTAGTATCTCCTTTTTTTGGGAGATAACAAGTGTCAAAAAGTTGCTTGTCAGCACTAGAGTATAAATTGTTTTTCTATTGCAGTGGAATTGCTGGATGAACCAGATTCAGGGAAGGGAACAGCAATGCTCTCTGAGTACGTTGAAAAGTTTCCTTCCTTTCACGGTAGGAGAAGGGGTGGGATGCGCTTGCTAAGGGAGCCACCACTTATATTTAGTATAATACTGATGTTCAGACTCAGCTGTGCCAAGTTTGTATTTCTCTGCTCTAAGGGGGTGAACAAGGCAGTGAGTGGAAGACTTTCACCGTGTAAAAGGTTCTTCCAAGCTATTGCTTACAATTTCTCTCTCTTGCTTTTTGCTTTTTTTTTTTTTTTTCTTCCCACTAGCGTTCCTAGGTAGAAGAATTTGCTTGGTTTGTTTTCTGATCGGCTTGTGGTTTCAGGGAGGATTTCTATGAGCATTTCTTCTGTGGTGGAACAGTTGCAGGACAATTGCACAGGGAAGGTTAGGTTTATACAGATGCTCTCAAAACATACATAAATGTGACTTTGGGAAGCTGGTAAAAAATACATTTCAAACTCGTGCAGACCCATGCTCCTAGATGGCTTTGCTTTGAGTCTCGTCAGAAGACCACATTTGAATAGTTTATTCTTTCTCTTAAGTAGAATGAAGTGCTGTCTACCGAGTAGTCCATAAAATATAGTTAAAAAACACATAAAATTGTGATTAGCAGCAGTCTTCTTGCTTGTTGCTGTCTTGTCTTCTTTCTCCCTGTTGAGTAAGCCTATGTTAACACATACTTGAGTATGCTCACCTCGGTAGCAGATCCCTGTGTTAATCCTTTAAATACAATTTTAGATACAAGATTCTTCAGCTACATCTCAAGGCTGATCAGAAAGGGGTTTTTATGTTTTATTCTATTGAAATAGAGATGCACGTGATTGGAGCTCTATAATCATAATGGGATGTTCTTATGTCAATATAAGGAAATTTATATTAGTAAGTCATATTTTCCAGTGAAGTATTCTTGACAGACTGTCCTGTCATAGAAATTAAGCATCTTATATGTGACATCTTTCAGTCAGGTGAATGTTTACTAACTCTATTTTTTTTTTCTGGTCCTTTTATATGATTTAATAACTTCTGTTTGATTACAGTAAAGTTTCAGTAGATATAACTGGTTTATGTATTGGGGAACTTGTAAAATCACCCTCTAATTACAGTAACTAACTAATGGATCAAATATTATTGATTCAGTGTAAAGGCTTACCATGCAATTTAAATATCTGTTCTTGGGCTCAGGTCAGGTACTTCATTCTTTGTACTTTGAGCTCTTTCTTCCCTTGAAACTGTTGCTGACCTTTGCAGTAAATGTGTTCAGGTTCTGCTTTCACCTTTCACTTTAAGAATAAGTATGAAATTTTATCTGAAATAAAGGTCCTTTTGTGCAAAATAAGCTTTGTGTTGGGTAGCTTCAAGATCTTCTTTAAGAACCATGCACATTGGATTAGGAAGTTGCTTCACATGCAGCAGTTCATTGTCTGGACACAGGTAGATGGCATTGGATGAAATAATTTTCTTTATTAAAATGTCCGTGCTGGTAGAATGTGTAATGTTTTGACTTCTGTGCTGTGTACGGTTGCCTTGCTTATGCAGGTGCACTTCAGCTGTTGAAGGGAACAAACAAGCGGACACAGGACCAGCAGGTTGTGGCCCATGGACTTCTTGCATTTCCCAAGAGAGCCAGCTCAGAGCCTCAAATAGCTTAAAATACTCCCTCTCAGGTAATGTGGATATTAGTCAAGCAATGTAGTTAGTTTGTCTTTGTCAGACAACATCTTTCCGAGAGGCTATGATCTCTTGATTTGCCTGTATCAAAACAGGATGTGTTCTGAAGGAACAATGGTCACAGAAAGATAGGTACAGAGCACATTATCTGCAAATATGCTCTTTGCCTGCAGATATGTTAACAGTATCAGAAGGAAACTCATCTGCTTTCCAGAATGTTTATCCTGTAGCTCTCATCAACTGTAAAAGTGGCTGAGCAGCACAACTGATCTTTTGGAGAAACTGAAGTGCTTCAGCCAGTGAGCATTCCTCTCTGGTAATTGTTTTAATCTTATAATCGTTCCTGAAATGTATGTGGCATGATAGATAACTCAAAGCTCAATAAGACTGTTGCTCTTTGGTTCTGTGCTGCCTATCACATGCTTGCATTGATTTGGTTGTGCAGTTCTTGCTCTATACACATATGCAGGTACAGATCCAAAATGTGATCAGCTCGTTCTGTTCTCATAGAGCTGTGACAAGAGTGCAAGAGCTGTATAGGCTAAAGGAAGGTTAGCTGCGTTTACCTACTTAGTGGGGAAGCAAATGAGCAAGGCTTGATATGATCTGGGAGACCCTTTAAAAATTTGTTCTTATGATCTTTCAATTGACTGCTATTTTAGAGTTTAGAGGATTGTCCTTGTGTTGTCATGGATGCATATTATTAACATTTACATCTTACCTAAAGAGAAGGGAGAATCTTTAAGAGAACCCTTCTGTACCTGTTCATTGGATGTTGTTAAGCAGGTGTTAAAAAATATTAAAATCTGGCTTAAATTCTCTTTGCCCCTTTGATCAGTCAGCTGTCCATGTTCTGTGGTGTCACTGTCTGTTAGTTTTGTCACAATCTTTTTCCTTCCCTGGACAAGCCTGGGCATTAGGGTGCTTTTTTTTTTGTTTCCTTTATGCATCATAGTGACAAAAAGTAATTTTGCAACTCACTTTTAAACAGCCAGTTTTTCTGTGAAAAAAACAGAATTTTGGGTCCTGCCCTAAACTGTACACATCTGAATCAGTCAGACAGTTCAGTAATCTGTTTGGGTATGTTCAGGAAGTAGAGGGGGAAGAACCGAACAGCTAAACCAGAAAAGTAGAGTGATTATACAACTAAAATATATACCTTGTGCAAAGTTGTGCTGGTTTTCACTGGGATAGAGTTAATTTTCTTCACAGTAGCTGCTCCGGGGCTATGTTTTGGATTTATGGTGAAAACAGTGTAGATAACACAGGGATGCTTTCATTACTGCTGAGCAGTGCTTACACAGTGTCAAGGCCTTTTCTGCTTCTCACCCCACCCCACCAGCAAGCAGGCTAGGGGTGCACAAGAAGTTGGGAAGGGACACAGCTGGGACAGCTGACCCCAACTGACTAAAGGGATATTCCAGACCATATGACGTCATGCTCAGCATATAAAGCTGAGGGAAGAAGAAGGAAGGCAAGGGGATGTTCGGAGTGATGGCGTTTTGTCTTCCCAAGTAACCGTTAGGTGTGATGGAGCCCTGCTTTCCTGGAGATGGCTCAACACCTGCCTGCCAATGGGAAGTGGTGAATGAATTCCTTGTTTTGCTTTGCTTGTGTGTGCATAAAGCTTTTGCTTTACCTATTACACTGCTTTTATGTCAGCCCACGAGTTTTCTCACTTTTACCCTTCTGATTCTCTCCCCCATCCCACTGTGAGGGAAGTGAGTGAGTGGCTGTGTGGTGCTTAGTTGCCAGCTGGAGTTAAACCATGACAAAAGTTCATTCAAGCAGAGGAAGCATCTAATGATTTTTTTTTTCCTGTCTTTCTTTTAGAGGAGAAGGAAGAAGAGAATGTGGAGTACACAGTTGTTGATTCTTTTCAGCAGAAATTTGGCTCAGCAGTAAGTACGAATGAAAGCTCTTATGCAGTGTATGTGACTTCTAAGCCTGTTCATTCTAATTGTCAGTAGATCCGTTAAGCGGCAGGATTGTGAGCACTGCTTCGTGACATCTTATACTGGAAATCACTTTTGCAGACTGCAGTGAAATTTGAGTGATAGGTAGTAACTGGCTTCTTTAAGTCAAGTAGAAATGGTATGTCTGGTGGCATCAAAGTATATTTGAAGTGTGCATATATGCAGGGAGAGAGTGCAATATATGCGAGTTTGTAGTGGGTAGATGTGAATCTGTATCAGTGTGTGTTGGTTGCTGTTTTCAGACTCTGTATCACCAGTATCTGAGGTGAAAGACCAGTATCACTATTTAGTGAACAATTATTTTGTTTAGGAAGGGAACAACATGAGGATTTGTTGGCATTTGGAGAGGGAATTGATCATGTTGTTTTGTAGGTCTTTGGAACTCAGACATGCCTGGACCTTCTTCTCTTAAATCACATATAATAACATAAGCAGACTTGATAGAAAGGCTTTGTTTCAGAACTTGCAGCCAATGGTAGATTTATTATTAAATTTAATAGCGTTTTTTAGATCCTGAATTAGACCAGCAATACTGTAGGTTCTCCATGCCATTTTGTCTTGCAGTAACATCTGTTGGGATTTGGGCTCTTATTATGGTACATCTATTGCACATACAGAGGAGGAAGCTCTTCCCCCACAGGAGGAGATTTCCCTGCTTACAGAGTAATCTAACTGTTGCTTGAAAAAGCAGCTGGCTTTTTTATTTCTGTTTATGCCTTCTACTCTTGTGTTACATGTGCATTACAGGTTGCTTTATCTTAATTGTCTGAAAACTTTTTGTGTCTTTGAGAGTAACAGGTTTTTCTTTTATACCTTAGAAAATGAGTTCTCCTTTTCATCTGAAAGGAACACCTTCTTTATGTGATCTTAAAGAAGTTCCTATAACCTACTTAGGACAATTTCTTGGGAGGAGATCAGGGGAGTCTATATTCTTTAGTTATCCATAATCTCTGCTAAACCTATCATTGATGTTTCTAGTTGTGGAATTTCCAGCTGTCTGTCTGTAACTGGACTGATACTGTGTCGGTTTCTCTTGGATCACTATATATCTGAGATTCATTGTGGGTTTTGATCTGTATTTATCTTTTTAAATATGAATCATGACCAGAAAAATCACGGTTTTACTATTTGTCCTTCTGCCTATCGTTCTCTGACACTATTTATTTTATCCCTATTTTTTTTTCATTAGGTGCTGCACCTAAAACAGCAGTGTGTTGTCAGTGTAGCAGGAGACGGTGTTAATTTGTGTCGTCACGGAAAACTCTCATGGCTTGAGGTAAGAGGCAGGTATTTCCCAAAATATGCCACTAAACAGAGGCATAACTGAGAAACATTTGGGGATTAGCCTGTGTTTAAGACTTACTCACATTACTGTTTTGGTAAGGGATATGATATTCTTCAAGACAGATCAGGTACTTCGTAAAAGACCTGTTACGGAAGAAATTATGTCATTATAAGGCAATATAATAATTACTAAACTTGTATGTAATTTATACATTTGTATCTAACAATGTAACATATTTGGCTTGCCATCTTTATATACTTGTATACAGATAGAGGTACTACACTAGTACAGCTGTTACTTATTGAAAAACTGCAAGACCTAATCACAATGACAATATAATTGAAGGAGTAAAATCCATCTAAAGATGATACAGTGTCTTCATTAGCTGTCATAGTATCAGCATCTGAAAAGGAAGGGACAGAAAGGAGAATAGCTTAATATGTTAGCATAAAATTGTCTTAGTTTATTTTTAAATAGGTTTAAAAGTGAGTGTGTTTATCCAAAGCAAAAACTTGTGTGGGAGTTCATGCTTCAAACTTAACTCGTTTATGCAGAAGTAAGTGTCCACAAAATGTCTGCTTTGGTATGGCTAAATTGCTTTCAAATAACAGCTTTTGTTAAACCATTATGAATTTGAACACAGGCAAAACCTAAATTTTATATCCTGTTTGAAATGCTAGGATGGAAAATGATGTCCTTTATTTCTTTGGTAGTGGTCTTTGACAATGAAAGGAATGTCATGGGCACAAGAATTTTGTTGGAAGTGGTTCTTTAAAAATGTCGCTATAATAGGTGTAGGAATTTATTTTAAGTACTGTGCATAGGGTTTGCTCTTGCTATGTCTCAAAATGCTGTATTTAACTGAGTGTAGTAGACTACTGGGTCGTTCTTTCTAATTATTGTGAGAGTCTCTGAGCATCTCTGGAAAAAACAAGACTTGTTTATGAATTTTTGTTAAGGAAACTAAATCTGCTGTGCCCAACCTAAGCCTGTACATAGGAGTTTATGGCTTGTGGGTAACAGTGCATTCTCTCCTACTTTCCAATCCTTTGTTCTTCTGTCCCTCACTCATTTTCACTGCAACTGAATTTGTTGTAGATGGCAACAAAGAGCCATATTTTTCTATTTGATATCTTCCTTCTGGGACCTCAAGCTTTCAAAAATGGATTACGAATGGTGCTGGAAGATGAAAACATCTTGAAGGTAAGGGTACAGGGTGTGTGAGGACATTTGTGGTCGCAGAGGTCATATACATATATAATGATCTATCTGCACCAAAAAAGTTGCAGTTGGACATGTATTTGTCTGACAATTCTTTCTTGCTTCAGGTCATGCATGACTGCCGCTGGATCTCAGACTGCCTGTTTCACCAGTACGGTGTCCTTCTCTTCAATGTCTTTGATACACAGGTACCCTTCAGATATTCTGGTTGGGAACAAATGTTTCAACAAGAGAAACTTCAGCCTTGTTCAGGGCATTCTCTAAGAGAAGGTTTAACATTGCTAGAATGTGACAGTTGTTGAACCATGTAAATGTAGTGGTTTTGTTCTAGCTAAAAAGAACTAGCAGACAAGGCTGATAGTGTTATTTAGAGTCTTGTGTAGACCTATTTTAGAAGGTAGTTAATGTCTAATATTAGCAGCAAGTTTAATGTGTTTTTTTAAAGATGCATTAACTTGATTAAACTTGGCGCAGCGTGAGGCCACTGTGACTTAAACAGGAGCTAGGCTGGCTTGTGCTTTATATTCTTTGTTATACTTTCTGCCCCTTTCACAAGTGTAGAAACAGATTCACACTACAGGTATCTTGCACTGGGAAGCACCTGCTAATAAAAGCAGCGGTGGAAGTGAGAGAACAGGCCAGGTTACCACAAAAATCTGTTTTAGCTGGTGCTGGCCCTGATAGTTGTGGTAGTTAATCTTGTGTGACTAAGAGGAGAATTAGAGCCTTTTGAGAGAGAAGAAAATAAAATAATGGCTATGATCTTTCATAATGGACATGGATATGTTACACATAGTTATGTGTGACTTGTCCTTGCATATATACTGACTTTTCATGTCATAGATATGACTGCCTATAGTAACTCTTCAAACCCTGGTCTATGTAGTAAGCTATATACAGCAGAGGTTTCTCTCGGTCCCTTTCTTATCTTAGTTTGGCCTTTTGTCCCTAAAGATTATGTCATTCCATTACAGGTCAAATATCAGTCAGTGTTAAGTCTTGACTGCAACAAAAAGGTCGGGATGAAAATTCCCACCAGTGCTCCCAACTGTACTGTCTAGAACATGTAACTACTACAGTGGAAGTAACTAATGAGAACTATCCACCCTAAGGTCTAAAGTACATGGAGTTGCACTCATTGTTCTGTTGTCTTGGTATGAGCTGACACGCATGCTTTTCTTGCACTGATAGATCTCTAGGCTTAGGTTCAATTACTCTGATTCATTGGCCTGAATCCTACTTCTAATGTAAGCAAGCTAGTGAAGTAGTCTGGTTTTGGCTACCCTGCAGGGTACCTGATATTGTGGAATTAAGCTGTCTTGTCTTCTACTGTGTACTGCTGGAGCAAATAACTGGGAGATACCTCTGAGCAAACTCTCATAGATACTTTTTGTGAAGCACTTCTTAGAGACAGCTTCCCAGTGTTGCTACAATTGGAACAGGCTGTGTGCATAAGTGAGACTGCTTAAAAAACACAGCAATGGAATGAAGAACTCTGCTTTAGATGGGATCCCACCTGCATAATTTGAAAAGTGTTATTTATCCCAGGTTTTGGCCAGTTGCTGCAACTGTTTATTCCTTGCAATAACTAACTTAATATGATTAACACAACATGTAGAGGATGGCAGTGAAAGGTTTCTGATTTTCAATGTCTTTCTCATTGATGTTCTTATAGTACTTAAGCATCACCTGGAAGTCTTTCAGTGATAATGTTTGTGGAAGTCTGATACTGCTATTTCACATTTGACTGCCTTGGTGACGGCAGAGGGGTGTCCCTGTTGGGCTATAGCAGCCTAAAAAGCTGCACAGTGAGCAGGCAACTGACTGTTGTCAGTGCTTACATCCCTAACATTGCCTTCTGGGACACTTCTATGTTGCATCATGAGGCTAGAGCATTCTCACACTTTGAAATCCCTGCCTATTGTAAAATGTTGTTGGTTGTGTATCTGTGTACTACCAAAAGAAATAATACAATTCTTCCTAGAGGTATGTGCTGAAAGAATAAAGAAAATTTGACAGCTTGAGACTTTCCATAAGACAGAGGTCCATGCAAGTTTTAATCATAAAATGTACAAGTGAAGAAGTCACAGCTGGTGTCTGATTCCACAGATCAATTCACATACACTACTCTTTAGGATGCTGTAGTTTTTCTGCCCTTGAATCCAAGCCATTAGCATGCAATGACTTTGGACAAAGATTTTTCACAGTGAAAGTTAAAAAAATTGTTTTCATTGTGGGCAAGTTTATTCTATAACCTTGTTCATTCAGATTAGACTTTTTATGAATATTGATCACAAAGATGCTTTCATTTTTGTTTAAATATTAAGTCTTTTCTCTCCTTGTTTGGAAAGCATTGAATTTTTTTACTAGAAACTCTCTCTCTAACCATCTAGAAGAATGGAATATATTTCCATAGATTTGAACATCATCTTTGTTTTGACTTTGAGTAAAAGTAACTGATTGCTTGAGAAGGTCTTTCCTGAGGTTCCTCTTCATCTGCATTTGGCCACTGAGAGAGAAAAGCCAGAGAAGGCTTTAGTGGTCAGAAGTACAATACAAAAGACTGTTGAGTAATAAGTGATGGAAACTTCCTTGTCACCTGGTGATTTGTACTTATAATCCAGTGAAGGTTAGCTTTACCTGGATCTTCTCCATTTTCTTCTCTTCAGTGAACTCATCAGTTTGAATTGTTGCAGTTCCTTTCTCTAGGTATATTTCCTGCCAGTTTTCAGCTGGTCGTTGTAGACTTCTTCGAACTGTACCAATATAGTCATCTTAGCAGAAATATAGGCAGTCCTAGATTCCTTGTCCTACCACAGAGCGCAGGAGGTTGGACATTCCCCTCCTTAGTCCAAGATGGCTTGTTCTACTTGTGGTGCTCTAATGTTTTGCATTTTCTTCATAATACCTTTATACAATCTTTTATTCCTTGAAAATTCAGTAAATGGATTGGCTTAGCACTTTCTTCTGGTAGGCTTAGCCAATACATGGCTTCTCTCCCAGAGAAGGTAGCAGTTAACTATTTAGCTGATGCCTTAGAGGCAGTTTTAGTTACTAATAAATCATACCAGCTTGTTTGCCTTTGCTATTGGACAGGAAGAGATATTTTTTTTTCCCCCCAAAGACTTTATAGGCAAGTTAGGAATGGGGGTTTGGTCTTGGAATTTACCCTTACTATAAGAGGCCAGAAGAGGTCAGTCTGCAGTCACTATTGCAGGGGCTGAGCTGGTGCTGCCAACTACTATGTGGTCTGATCTAGGTAGCACATGGGCAGTATATGGTGGAACAGTACAAACAGTGGCTTTAGCTGTAACCTTTGCAGTAAAACTGGGCTGGCCTGTAAGCTCATGGTTTTGTTGGTTGGATTGTGGATGCTTGTATTGAGTGCTGGCTCAAGGTTTCTTAGGAGAGAGTAGTAACGAGAAAAGGGCTGTGAGAGGTCAGTGGGGATTTCAGGGGACCAGAGTGGGAATCTGGGCTTTTGAGTAGCAGAGGAAGTCTGAAGGATAGGTTGTTGTAATGACAGATAGCTCAGTCTCAGATTTTGAGTGTGGATGCAGGCTTTTTATTTTTTCCTCTCCATTGCCCTGGTGAGTGGACTCTCTTCCAGGCTTCCCTTTTCTGTTGTCTTCTCTCTGCACCTGTTGCAATAGTCCCACTCATCTTTGTGTTCTCTGGTTAGGGACAAGACTCAGGGCTGTTCCTGCTCTTACTGCAAAAGGGTAAAAGGGATGAAACCAGGATGAAACCAGGATGAAAAACAAGCAAACACCATGCCATGCAGTTGCTGCTGGAGGCTGTTGTTTGCTTCCTTTCTGGCTCTGTATGCTGTCAAAGACAAGTCTTACTGGCAAAATAAGGTTTTAGGCAAAAGGTTTTTGACAACTTATATATTCTTGCATCATGTTTTCCTTACATTGCATCACTATTTCAGGTTTTAGATAAAAGGCAAAACCATAAGTATCCTGGGGAAGTAGCACTGTATGTTTACTCTCTTCTGATATTGCTCCTAACCACCTGCTGTCTGGAGGCAAGAGTACTGGGCTAGAAGGAGCCTTAGACTAATGCAACATATAACTTATTTAAGTCATTATTAAAACTTAATTTAACCTTTTATGTGACTTAACAGCTTTAAGGAGTCAGATTACTAGCTCTGCAACTGTACGCAATCAAAACGAGGATTAATTTGTTTGCAGCATACTTTACTTCTAATATGCATCCCCACTGTCAAACCTCCACATTCTTTGCCTTGGGTTAACAAACGCTGGTCACGGCATATTGATCCCTTCTATCACAGGTTGCTGATGCTCTGCAGTTCTCCATGGCAACAGGTGGCTTCTTTCCGGATCGTGTCTGCACGTTACAGGAGTGTTTGATGCAGCACTTGAAGATACCTTCCAAATGGGACGCCATCATGAAGTGCAGGCAGCAGATGGCTTCAGTGAGTGATTCAGTGAGGCACCTTCCAAAGATTCAATTGCGAGCTGTGCTTTGCCCATCTTGAGATGTTGCTGTCAGTTTTTTTAAGAGCATGGCGCTATACAGTGGTCAAATTGCTGTCGTTAAGGACATTTTGTAACACTGACTTGGGAGACAGATGCAAGCTCTAGTTGGCATCAGTGCTTATGCTGGTATTTCCTAATAGCTTATTTGAAATTGAGGTTCTGAAGAACCACAAAGCTTGTACAATAGATGATATATATATAACTCGGGTAAAAAATGTTCCGGATATCTTAATATATTTGACTAATTCTGAAACCTAGTTCCAACAGAACAAGTTCATTAAAATGAATCCTGAGTCAAATAGGGAAAGAGGAAACTTTTATTGCCAGCACTATTAGAATGAAAAAATTAGAGTAGTGATTTTTTTCTCACTTGTGCAGTTCAGCGGCATTTGCCAAATCATTATTCTCTATTGTCCTTACTTTTGTTAATCTTTCAGATGGGGACAAGCAAGGGAAAAATTAATAGGCCAGGAGCTCCTAAGATCTGGGGAACGTAAGCTTGATAAATAGAATAGACTATTTCAGTTGGAAGGGACCTACAAAGATCATCTAGTCCAACTGCCTGACCAATTCAGGGCTGACCAAGTTAAAGCATGTTATTAAGGGCATTGTCCAAATGCCCCTTAAACACTGACAGGCTTGGGGCATTGACCACCTCTCTAGGAAGCCTGTTCCAGTGTTTGACCGCCCTCTCAGTAGAGAAATGCTTCCTAATGTCCAGTCTAAACCTCCCCTGGTGCAGCTTTGAACCATTCCCACATGTCCTGTCACTGGATACCAGGGAGAAGAGATCAGCACCTCCCTCTCCACTTCGCGTCCTCAGGAAGCTGTAAAGAGCAATAAGGTTGCCCCTCAGCCTCCTTTCCTCCAAACTAGACAAACCTAAAGTCCTCAGCCGCTCCTCATAAGACATGCCTTCCAGCCCTTTCACCAGCTTTATTGCCCTCCTCTGGATGCATTCAAGGTCCTTCACATCCTTCTTAAGTTGTGGGGCCCAGAACTGCACACAGTACTCAAGGTGAGGCTGCACCAACACTGAATACAGCAGGATAATCACCTCTTTTGACCAGCTGGTTATGCCATGTTTGATGCATCCCAGGATGGGGTTTGCCCTCTGGGCTGCCGGGGCACACTGCTCACTCCTGTTGAGCCTGCTGTCAACCAGCACACCCAGATCCCTTTCTGCAGGGCTGCTGTCTAGCCATTCCTCTCCTAATTTATATTTGTGCTCGGTGTTCCTCCATCCTAGGTGCAGAATCCAGTGTTTCAACTTGTTAAATTTCATCCCATTAATCATAGCTCAATGGTCCAATCTATCTAGATCCCTCTGCAAGGCTTCTTGTCTCTCAAGAGAGTCAATAGCACCTCCTAGTTTGGCATCATCAGCAAACTTGCTAATGGTGCATTGAACTCCTGCATCCAGAGCGCTGATAAATATATTGAACAGAACTGGCCCTAGAATTGAACCCTGAGGAACACCACTGGTGACCGGTCACCAGCCAGGTGTAGTCCCATTCACTACAGCACTTTGAGCTCTGCCTTTCAGCCAGTTGTTCACCCAGCACACCGTGAACCCATTCATCACACAGTTGGACCACTTGTCCAGAAAGATGCTGTGAGGGACAGTATCAAAAGCCTTACTAAAATCCAGAAAAACTACACCCACTGCCTTCCCTTCATCCACTAGGCGAGTGACTTTATCATAGAAGGGTATCAAAATAGTTAAACAAATAGTATATAAATATGCTAGTGCCAGTTGTGGCATCATTTTGCTGGGTTTTTAATTACCTGACCTTGCTGGTTTTTTTTAGGGGGGGAGACTTCCAAAGAAGCTATTAAATATGGGAACTAGATACCTAATGAGACCTGACTATATAGGCAGGATTTCTTGACTGGATAGGAACAATCTCTTTCCTGCCAGAGCATTTTTTCTTCCTTCATACTGGTCTTGTAACTTCCTGAGTAAATCTGAATGTTTTTTTTACTGCCTGTTCATAGACTTAAAGTCTTTCTTGAAAACGTGGATTAAATGTTATTTGATATTGCTATAATAGCTACTCAGTGAAACCTCTAATTTGAATACAGCTTTATTTTTATACAAGTTTTGGAATTCTAATAGTGTCTCTCAAAATTTCAATTTAGAGAATTCTGTATGGTAAATCTAAGCCAAATGACAACATGCCTTCCTTGTTTACCAGACCAAATCCTCCTATTGGTCTGAAGACTAAAAGTGGAAAATGACTGTATAATATGTAGGTAGTAAGTATACCAGTGTAAGCCACTCTATAGTGACAGTTTTGCTCAGGATATTGTGGTCATGCAGCTTAACTGGGGCTTATTTTCATCTTCTTCTGGTTCCAGTTGTGACGGCTGAAGATGTTACTATCCCCAGCTGCTTCCCCACCTCCCTTGATGGGAGGGGTTTTTTTCCCTTTAGATCTTTCAGCTCAGCTCTTAGGAATCCAACCTAGTTTCAGAGATGGGTGAGAGAGAACCTAGCATTAAATGCTGGAATAGGTGTGTGTTGGTTTTTGTTTTGTTTGGGTTTTTTTTGAAGAAGCAATCCCTCCTCCCAAATTCACTCTTCTCTAACATCCACAGGCTTGTACACAGATGGCCTTAGAAGCTGCAAGCATTCAGTAGCACTGAAAATAGAGATCAGCATTGGGAGATAGGTTGTAAACTGCAGAAGAATGTGATAAAAAGCTTGTTATCATTTTTGCTACTTAAATAACTGTTTTTATTTGCATTGGGATACACAGGAGAATCCTGACATATGGTTCTTGAGACCTTTTCCAGCTCCTCTGCTTAAAGCACTTGCTCTGAAGGCTATGTACCTTCTGCTGCTCCACTCATCTCTAATGGATAACTTGATGTCTGACCTAACAACTGTAGTATGTGGTTATTTAAATGCTTATCGGACTGGGTCTGGAGATCACCTTGGGAGCACAAAGGTAGGAATATCTTTGCTTGTTTCTGTGGTTAGTGATTTGATCTAGGGCTCTAATGGATAAACTCCGGAGGACTTAGCTATAGCAGCTTCCTTTTCTGCAACTGTACACCCTACTTTATGCCACATACTTTGTGTTCTGTGTGCAGCAGCAGAAGTGATGGTGTCTTCATCTACCTGGCTGCATTTCATGTCAGTGTATTAGCACAGATCCACCTCAAGTTAGTATTGTGGATGATGAGCTGCAGGTGTTAAGGCACAGGCACATGTGCCATCTGTTCACTCTCATCTGAGACTGAGAACCTCTGGGCTCACTAGAGGCTGTGTATGTGCAAGGGCATGAAGAGGGACAGGCAGTTGTGGAGTGTTGGTACCTGGAGCTGCCAGAGTTGCTTTGTTTGGGTAAGAGCATTTAGTCCCTAAATCTTGTTCTATTTTTCCCCTATTCTGTCATCTTTACTGCTATTTTGCATATACTGGCTGTTTCTGAGTAATGTTGTTGCTTGCTGGCCAAAGATTTTTATTTCTGTAAAAGCATCTCTGAGTTCTCTTGTCATCCTAATTTATTCTCACCTGTGTTATCTTAAAAAAAAAAAAAAAATAGGTCAAGTAACACTGTTCCTCTTTGGTTACATTTGGTTACATAGAACCAGTAGTATTGCATGCCCAGATACCTTGGAGTGGCTCTTGTATGGTGGACACTTCTGTAATTGCTTGTTAATTTTTAAAGCGGGGGTAGGGGGTGGGGGGAATGAGATTTTTGGTTAAGGAAACAAGAGGTCCATGCAAACCAAACAAGCAGTGGTATTGGTGTGGTCTTTTCCTATCTTCTCAATGTAAGATGTTGCAGGTATTAAATTTGGGTGAAAAATGAATAGTTAGACATCTCCATTCCTGAACTAACATGATTAAATCCTGTTACCGCCTCATTTTTGCAGTTGTAAATGTCTTGAAATATTTATTAGGAAAAGAGAATGCAGGTCTATCTTATTGGGAGAAATTGTCTTTTTCTTTGCCCTGGTTTAACAAAGCAATCAAGTGCACACTTGAATCCTTTGGGAATTACTTAAGAGCTCAGAGCAGTAAATCCCATTATTGAGGATTTAGGAGGAGATTAGTTTAGATAACCACAAGAGGTCATAGTTGCTTCACAGATGGAAGAGAAGAGGTCATATCTGAAAACCTTTTCTTTTTAGAGGAGAGCTGCCAAAAAAAGAAGGTTGTTCATAGTTCACAGAAAAAAATGAGCTTGACATCTGAATTTCCAATGTGAAATGCATGCAAAAGTAGGCATTACACAAGGGAAAAGAACAGTCTGTTAAAGTGAAAAGAGTATAAATGCTGTTTTGCGTTGGGCTATTTGTTTGTAGAATTTTTTTAAAGTGGTACTCAGGTTGCTGAAGCCAATCCTTTTGTAAATCCATTTATTCCATAAGATTAGCAAAGGACTTAACCTGATCCTGAGCATTTCAAATGGCATTTTGAAGATTTATTTAATATCACATCTGATAATCATACTTCCTGCAGTTGCTTTAGAAATCTTGTCCTATGGCTAGTAAAAGTAGCCATTTTCACCATCATTTCACTGTTAATCATTTTCTGTTGTTTCTACATCTTGCAAGAAGAAACACAAATGAAAGTTGCTTCTACTTTAGTTAAAATCTGCTTGCAATACATATTTAAACTCCAAATACGGAGTTTGGTTTAGTTAAATCTGGTCTGTTAATTCAGTTTCTTCACTGAGTAAGTAAACAAAGTTAACATTAAGGGAATCCTTTGCAAGTTGATGAGTTCAGCTAAATCTGTTTTAAGGGAAAAAAAAAAAGAAAAAGAAGAAAAAAAAGTTGTCTTAATGCAACTTCTAGGTTTTCTGGCTGAGTCTGTATTAATTCCCTGAATCAAAAAGCCTTTATTCAAATCTGATTCTCAGAATGAAGTAATAGTCAAGACACCTACACCCTCCCCACCCCCCCCCACATTTATTCTAGTGCCTTTTCATAGATACTTAGAAGTAAAGCTTATCCATCATTAAGGTCTGTGTTATGCCATCTGTGCACTTTGTGGAGCTACAGTTGAAACTTACCTGGAAAATGCTTTTATTGGACTATTTTACTTTTTACACTGACCAGTTACAATTTACACTCATGCTCCACTTTGGACCCTTGTTGAACAGCAGTCTGGTACAATGAACTTGACTTCACCTTGGAGCTGGTCTCCGACAACAGCAACACTGTAGTCCCTATGCTTGATGACTGCGTTCTCCACGCATGATCTGGTGCAGTTCCAACACTACTTCAGCAGAAGTAATGATCTCCTTGGATTCTGAAGTAAATACCCATGCTAGGGAAACATTTTGGAAATCTGAAATATGTTACCTACTATGCTCTCTCCATGCTGGAGAACTGGAAGAGAGGCCTCTGTTGCTGAAGCAGGACTGCAGCAAAGCCAAAGGCAATAAATGCTCCAGGGACATAAAGATATCTTGCACTACTTCAGCTTCTAAATTGGAAGGTGGACATAATTCCTGAGTGAGCAGGAACCATCTGTGGTACATCAAGACTTTACCTGAAAGTTGTGGGAGTGAAAGCCACTAGGCAAGAGAGTCTCCAAGTTACCATGGCCTCTTTGATTTATAGGCACTTGGAGAAGATGATCTGATCTGGAAACTAACTTCCATCACTCCAGGTAAGGAAGCCTCTTCTAGGCCCTTCTCTGTCCTGTTTTAGTTCTTGGATTGTGCTCTGTGAACAGAACCACCAGGTCTTCAGCCTTTTGACAAAGGGAAAGTTAGTTATGTAGAAATGCCTTCTGTTGTGTCTCTGGGCTACAAAGGTGTTTGAGTATGTCGTACCTGACTAGAGCAATGAACAGAGCCATGCTTCCCTGGCCTGCTCTTGTTCCTTCTGATCTTACTGAGTGACATCATGTCACACAGAAGAATTTTTTTTTTTTCCTTCTCCCATTCCCCCAAACTTATGACACTCCCATGTAAGCTATACTTGCAAAACAAGTATACAGACACAGTTTCAATCGTGAGACTTCATTAAAAATGAAGTACTGAAGATGAATGGAATACGTAGCCACATTCTTTCCAATCTCCACCTGTCACACGTTGAATCTCAGCTCCTGGATCAGGGTTTACAACATTGAACTTGAGCTTGGACTAGCATGGGTAGCACCCTCCTCATCTTTCCTGGGTCACTGCCATATCCAGAAGTTCGTAATGCCAACAGCTTTTGTGTGTAATAACAGTATCGGGATATACTTGGTGAAAAAAATGCTTTGGCTTTCCAGTCTGAGGTTGCCTGTGAATTGAATAATGCTGAGTAATGACCAATAATGTTGAATAATGACTATTGGGGCAGTTACCTACTCTCTCCTTCTCTTATTGAATCAGGGGGTTCAGCCTCTAGGAGCAGATCTGGACCAGACCCTGTTTTTTCTCCTCTTGGAAACAGCAGCAAGGAAAAGTGAATATGCATAATCATGGATTAAAAGCCAAGCCTGTTCACTTGCCCTTATGAATCACTGCCTCCACTGACAGTTGAGGAAAAACAAGTGTGAATAAGACTGATGAATGTAATTGTCACTATCCTTCCTTGGGCTCTGTATGCCTGGTCTCTGCAGTCAGTTTTCCACATGCATCCCTTGTTCCTCAGTGAGAAGTTTCTGCATGCTCTAACAGGCCCCCATTAGTGGCAGAATACAAGAATCACTTTCTGGCTAAATGCACAGCTCCTACAAGGGTCAGATCATCCTTGCGGCCTTCAACGTATTCAGGAGTGCTTGATTTCAGACATGTATAATTGCATGTACCTGTGTCTAATTTTGCCTTGTTTCTTGAACATGCATAACCGATGGGGGTTTTGTTTTGTTCCAGCTTATTTTGACAGAAGCTTGTACTTTCCCTTTACTTAAGACAAGTTTTCATAAATAATGTGATGGGAACAGAGGCCATGGATAAGCGGGTAGAAATGGAGATTAATGACAGTTTATTGCTGTGAAGGCAATAAACTAGTAAGAGCAGAGCAAGTAGCATATATGTATTTCATGCAAATAGTGCGTTTGAGTCTTTGACTTGGATGTCATAATTCTCGTGAGCAATTGCAGCAGTCACTGGCGGTAGTCCTGGTTTCACCTGAGGTTTCAGCCATCTTTTCTTCCCCTTGATCTTTCAGATGTTTTGCTGGAAATAGCAAAGAAACAGAGTCCTTATGGTCAGCCAGTGGGCAGCCCTTCCAGCAAGACTTCAACCTTGCTTCTGGAGAGCCAAACACACTCTTTTGTCATTTGATAGTTGTTTTGCAGGTTAACAGAAGATGTACTGAGGAGCTGGCCCATGAGCCGGTATGCCAGGTGGGAGACATGCTGTCAAGGTGGCAGGATGCAACTTCATGGATTAGAGCTTCCTTCAGGAAAGAGTTGCAGAAAAGATGGGTGTCATGCATCCTAGCAGTTGCTAGCAACAGTAAAGTATTGCCAGTGATCCACAGCAGCCAAAAATGATAATGCAATACCCTTGCTGATGTAGTACTGGGAGAAGAGAATGAAGAAGAAAATGGAGAAAAAAAAGAAGAAAAAAAAAAAGGAAATAAAAGGAAAGGCATCTCATTGATCCTGACAGTTTGGGAAATGTATGTTGACACTTTCTGTGGTTTCTTGTGTCATCACCTGCAAGTAGTAGTTGAGTCTTCTCAACTACTCCCTTAGGAGGGAGTGGACACTCCCTCTTAAGCAACTGACTTTTTACACACAAACCAGATGCAAAACAGTAACCTCTGATCCCCAGCACTTCATTATCAAAACCCTCAACTTCCATCTTCAGCATCTTCTCAAATTGATAATCTTCCTTACCGCTGAGGGGGAGAACTCAACGCAAACTTCCCACCCTGAAGGTCTCTGCAGTTTCCTGCTTTTTCAGCAATAACTGTCTACCAGGAGTAATTGTTCTTGTGGATGCAGACATCAAGTAAAATGGGTTTCTATGCCTGGTCTGTCACTAGAAAAGAGCTAGTAAAGTTGCTCTATGTGCTAAATCTCTAACTCTCCTTGTAGATTCATATAGTGTGTTGTTAGGTACTTGGAAATGCAGCTGCATTCTGATGTTTAGGACTTAAAATTCAAAGAAGCAATGCAGCCTGGGAACCCATCACTGTAAAGAAACAAATGTTCTCCTAGAAGTGCAGTGTTTTCTTCTTTAAGTGGTGACAGTTCACAAGGAGAGCTCTGGTACCATAGGGGAGTTGCACATCCCTGTGCAGCAGAGTTGATTTCCCTATTCACTTAAGGTAAAGCTGCAGTAGGTAGGGTGCAGTGCAGTATATAATACCAGATAACACATTCATGACACGTGATGGCAGAAGCTCTGTTCTCTGTCTAAATATAATTGCATGCCCAAACCAGAAGTTTTCCTAATTGGCAGGTGAGTTGGGACTACACGCAATGCATATTAATCTTTATGAACATATAGCCTGAATTTTCATGCAACTTAGCTTTAAATGGTTTAGGGTGTGGATTACCTGTCACTGTAGGATACTGTAGCAGTCAGGAAGCTGGATGTACATTATTCTGGTTAAACAGAACTGAAGGTGGGGTGTTTCAAGTAAGTGCTTGCTCTGCTTTTTTTCTTTAATCCTGTCTGAATTATTTAGCCTTCCTCTGGATCTGTGCAAACTTCTAGACATAGGTTTGTGAGGCATGGCTTCCCTTTACAAATGCTCTGGTAACTCTTTTCCAGTGCATCACATCTGTATATCCACTCATTCTGTTCGTAGTGTTTCTACTGGTATGCTCACACAGACATCTGACTTGCCAGCATGTTGCCTCCTGTATCCTACCTGGAACCTGTAAACGTTTACCATCTTCCAATCCCTGGGTGTCAAGGCAGGTTTTAAGCAAGATACTATAGTTGCTAGTTCAGCTTTTTCATTTTCCACTGTTCAGGAATTTGGGGTGAAATCCACCTTGCTGTTTGTATTTCAAGTATTGGTATTAAGTATTTATGGGACAACCTGAAACAGATTCTGGGTACATAATGAATGTTTTTGATACGGGAATCTGCACTTTTTTTCATTCTGAATGTAGAAGAGAAAAAAATGTGGGTTTTACCATGCCGCTTCTATATTCTGATCATCACTTAGCCCTGCAGCATGGTTGACATTTTGTGCTCCTCTGATGTTTACAGAAAATTTTTTAATAGTTCTGTTATATTTTTGTTAAATATTAATAAAATTATTCTGGCCTGCCCTTCGTTTTTTCTGTAACTTCATCCTTACTGTTTTCTTCACTTAGATGTGGCTTTGCTTTCCTGAAGGATGCTTACTTCATTGTCTCCACTCCCCTAACCTGTAGTCCTGCCAATTTCCTTTCACTCTTTCTGTGATCTTTTGCTGTTAGGTAATGTTTACTCTATACTGCTTGTATGTTGTCTTGAAGTTGTGTCCATGCTACCTGCTAGGACTAAATTTGCTTGTCTGCCTCTTACTACTTTTTATCAAGCTTCCTTATTTGTGCAATTCCCCTTTCTACAGCTGAACGCAACCATGGATTTTTTTGTTGTTCCTAGAAAGATGGTGAGCATTGCAGTCCTCGTTAAGAAGCAGATCCTTGAATGTAGTATTTTCAACAATGTCCCATGCAGTTCTCAGGACCAAATCAAGGAGTGTATCTCCTTTCCCGTACTTCCTAAGCAGCTGTTTCATTGATTTGTTAACTATGTTGGCTTTTTCTACATAAGGTTTTTCTTTACCGTAGGATAGAATACCATGGTTTTAAATGAAAAGCTGGGAAAGCTGCCTTTGCAGCAGCTCCTACAAGCAAACGTGAACTGGTTATGCCTCTTTAGGGGGTTTACAACAACTTCATAGTGCAAAAGGTTTCTCAGGAGACATCTAAAACCCGTATGTGAAGTATTACATCTTGAAGATCTTCATAATAAAGGAGTAAACAATAAATGCAAGTCTAATATTTTTCCCTTTGGGTTGCCTTTAAAAGAAGGAGCATGGGGGGACTTTTTTCCGCTGAAGTATTGTTTGTGTAAGCAGGTAGTCGATACATTCCACAGAACTAATGAGAGACGATTGTTCTGTTCCGTTGGCTAATTACAGAGGGAGCTCTTACCTGGTACTAACAAAAGTAGAGCATGCATATGCATATGTATTGATCTGATTTCTTTTCTGTTTCTTTTCTTTTTTCCTTATCAGCCCATTTGCATGGAGCTGCCAGAGGACCTGCGTCAGCTGGCAGACATCCAGAAGCTACGAAGGGAGAAAGCAATAAAAGACTACATAATGAATGAGGATGGTCTTTTGATCAGACCAGCCATGGAATTAAAAGAGGGAAACGATCCACAGAAGGATGGCAACTACAGAGATGATGGGGATCGCTTTCCCACAAATAAAGCTGTGTCTCAAATTACATCCTTCTACAATCAGGATGTACTTTGTCAAGAAAAGCTTGAAAATCAAAATGAAGTGGTAAATCTGTGGAAGAACCTTAAACTGACCTCAAGCTGTCTGCACGAATCTAATTTCTGATACAGGTGACTTGATGAGCTTAGACTGGGTATTTGAAGACATGCAAATGAAAAAAGGGGCTATTCCCCATGCAGAAGTGTCAAACAAAAGCTCCTTTCTTTACAATGACAGGTAAACCCATTGCTGAATGGAGAGAATGATGGGCTTTCTTTTGAAGGAAATTCCTTCTTTGTCTGACTGTTCTTCTCGAGATCTATGTTTGAGATCCATTTTTTTTCAAGAGCTATTTTTGATTTCAGAACAGTGACTTTTGTTTTTCTTGCGTTGTTACCAGACCAGTGTCTTAAACTGTATTGGTTCTTTTGTTACCTGTTGCAGGTATGTAAAACTCTCATTCAATCCAGATATGTAAACAGGGGAGCTTATAAGATGCCTTTTCATTGAGATTAGAAAGGGTTTGCTTGGAAAAACTTAAAAACCTTTTGGTCAACCCATGTGGGCTTGGTTTATATATGGATAAGTCTCTTGGCATAGCTATACAACAGTCTTTCATAGGAGAGTGAAAAAGATCACACCCTAATGAATCGCTGCGCTGGCAAAAACAGCAGAGAGGTGTACAGATAAAAAGGACTTTTCTGCCAAGTCAGAGTTATTTTAGGCTAACTGAGAAAAGAAGCTTCCTGATGAAAGTTGCACACCACCATTGTTTGTCAGCACTGCTGTTTCAAACTCGTGTAGATAAGGCTGTAACACTAATGTGGTGTGCATATAGACAAGTGTGTATAAAGGGGAGGAAAAAACAGTTAAATTAGTTTAAAAGATGTATAGCATTCTCTCCCTGCCCCCCCCCAGCAAAATAAGATATAAAGGCAAAACCAGTTTATTTCCAGTATACTTGCTGTGGCTGGTGTTCACTGAAAGTAAAGCCCCTCCAACTGATAGTGCTACTCTACCACATGACAAAATTAACGTAGGACATACCTGAGTCTTGCAACATTTTTTTGGCCTATGGCTATATTTGACTTGCAAGCACACGACTGTTGAAAATTCTTTGGTTTTGAAATACATAAAAAATATTGCATGTTTTGCTATTCAAATGCTTCAGACAGGGTGGGGAGCACCTTAAGCATAAGGAAGGTTTTGTTCTCAGGGTTGTGGTTATGAGGATCAGTGAACGCTGATGAACAACATGAAATAGGGAAGAATGGAAGAGGTAACGGTCACTGTCCCAACCAGACTGCAGCCTAAGAACAATCTGGGCATCGGGCTGCAAATGTTAAGAGTAACGATGTCAGGTTGCAAGGGACATGACGTCTGCATGTGAGTACATACCTGTTTGAGCCATTTTTCTTTGGATGTAAATTGGTGTGACTAGATGCTTATGATGCATCCTTGTGCATTTCTTTTAAATATCATTCGGGGAAATGTATTTTGGTGTGTGTTTTTTTCTCTCTATGAAGAGTACTAGACCAGCAGTATTTAAATAGGTCTCTTCTTTGAAACTATAGATAGGACTTGCTTGCTTCTGGGAGTGGCAGAAAAATCAGCAGAAAAACTTCCAAGGCTTGCTCTTTGTCAGTACATTTTGCACATATTTTTTTTAAAACCCTTAACAGTATTCTGTAATCAAACTGAATAGTTCCTTTGTCTCAGTTCACTTTAGAAAAATAAAGCAGGCTTGAAACAAGTTTGTCGTACAACTTTTTATTTGGAAATTGAGTCCGTGTTTCATTTGGTCTGCTAGGAGATGCTGGCAGTGGACTGAGCCCCTCTCCAGCACTGGAACTCACATCATTCATCCGGAGCAAGATTCTTCCAAGCAGTGATGTGTTATCACACATCAGTGACGTACGGTGTGGAACGTGCAGGCTCTTCTAAGCCAGAGATGGCTCAAGAGCACTTACATTATATTTCCACAACTGAAATAATCTGGATCCGTCCAGTCCTATTAGGAGAGGGAGAGAGAAAATGACCTTATATCAAGTAAAGGAAGGAGGTGAGGAAGAGGAGGTAGGATGTGAAGTCTTCAAGTCTGGGACGTAGAAGAGCAGTTGAGTGTCTCTGTGCAGGATACAAACTAATTGCTAAAGGCACCCTTCTCATTAAGAGGCTGAGCTGCATTCTCAGCCTCTTCTGAGAGGTAAATCTCTGGCTGGAACTGTACCGTAATGGAGTGAGGATTTTCAGACGGGGACTTGACAGTAACTGCATCCGTGCCACTACATTAAGTTGCAAAACCTTCCTGGGTAAGCATGGCTGCAGCTTTCCCCTGTTCTCTTTTGGGAACAGCATAAAAAAAAGAAACAGATTGGAATGGAGTCATCAGTCATTGATGCACAAGATTGAAAATGACAATTTTCTTAAAGGAGAAAAAAGATAATTTTTTCTTTAAGTGATCTGCATCATGCTGCTGGGTGCTAGCAGTCCAGTTTTCCAAGCTTGGTAGCGACAAAATCATGTAAACTTCTTAAATGACGTTAAGTGCTGGTTGTAGTTAGGGAAGTAAGTACTGTAACTACTCGGGGCAACTCTGTAGTGAAGTTCTACCGGGGCGGTAGCAACGGTCTTATTTTTATTTCCTAGTCCTTGTGGTACCTACTGCGTGCTAGGATGACACAGAGCTTAGTCATGAAGTACAAATCTCCAGGCCGTAAGTGATCTGGATTAATCACTCGTTTAAGGATTTACTGTAAATACACAACTTAACGGGTTCTCAACAGCCGTGTCGACACTGCGACGTGTCCCCGCAGTTAACTTCCAGGCCCGTTTTGCCCTCAGCTCCTGCGATGCGATTCTTCACAAGCGACGAAGGGAACGCGGTAAAATAAAAGAAAAGAAAAAAAAAAGCCCGTCGCTCCACCACTTCCCCCCTTTCCGCCCGCCTTGCTGTTAAGCGTGACGGTGCCCCGCTTCCAGCTCCCCGCGGGGGAGGCCGGGCCGGGCACAGGCCGCCTTCTGCCTGCTTTGGAGGGAGGGGAAGCCTCGCTGCCCGCCCGCTCGGCCCCCGGGAAGGCAGAGAGGCGCCTGGCCGGCCCTCGGCCCCGGGGTGGCGGAGGA